CTCTTACTCTTTCTCCAATTTCTCTTTTTTCTTAATATATATTATATGGACAACACACATAGACACAACACACACATTCACACATATATATATATATATATATATATATATATTTATATATGTAATATATAATATATATTATATAATATTATATAATATATGTATATATATATAAATATATATATATATAATATACATAAATATATAGACACACGATACATATATACGTATAACACATGTATGTATACCTATGACTATACTATTGTACCGTACTACTATCGTGTGAAAGATATATCACACACTCTGTGCTATCATTCAATCTATCTTTACTGTCTTTACATGTCTTTAACGACGTAGACGATATTAGTTAGCGAATAAAAAGATATTTATAACTGTTGCTCTCTTCGAAAGAAGAACAAAGTTGCAAGAATAAATATATGAAGAATTCAGAGTAAAAGAAATAGACCAACTTATCGGTTTTTACTTTCAATATATAATATTTGTTAAAATATATTAGCAATTTATCGATATTAATATTCTTCTTTTTTTTATTAGCATATACATGAGCCAAATTTTCTATCCACTAGAAAAATCCGAATTTTTTTTCATTTTGCAAAATAGGAAAAAAAGATTTCACATCCGCCCGGATGGAATGCTTGATCATGTATGCATCGCATATAAATTGCGTGTTATTGTTACATTGTAAAAAATATATATAATATATTACATAAAAATATATAAAATTATGTAAATACTAAGTGTAATTTTACATATTTTTATGTAATTTTATATATTTTTTACAGTGTATTATAATATTATTTTACTGATATAGTCTGATAATTTATGAAAAACGGTTTTGGTCTGAATTTGGATTCTGAATACACTGTAAAAAATATGTAATATATTACATAAAAATATGTAAAATTACATAAATACTAAGTGTAATTTTACATATTTTTATGTAATTTTATATATTTTTTACAGTGTATTACAATATTGTTTTATCGATATAGTCTGATAATTTTTGAAAATCATGAACTTTGGTCTGAATTTGGATTCTGAATTTTTCGTATATGTACGAACTACGAAGTCCGCCTCATCGACGATCTTCAACTGTGTGTGAAAGGGTAAAAGTAAAAATTACGTACAGGATAGTCGGTGTGCGTGTGCGTGTTCCTTAGAAAACAGTTTTGCGATTTAAGATTACGAAGAGGCGGTTCTCTATAAGAAACTCTATAGAAAAAAAGAAAACAGCGAGAAAACTGTGGTAATCCGCAATACGTCGCCTCCATATTGCAAAACCGCTTCCGAAGTTATTAACAATTAAGATAGTGAACTGTTATATAAATATATATATATTACGACGAGAAAAGTACAGGAAGAGAGCTATCGTCCTAGATCGCGCGAGCACCGTCAATATTTATTGTGTCCCCAGGAAAATATCCAAATTCAAGAACAACGAGAACTTTCGAGACAGACAGAAGAAAGCTCCTATATAATAATAATAATAATATAATAATAATAATAATAAAAATAATAATAATAAAATAAAGATACTCGTGAAGAAGTCAATTTATCTAATATCGGATCAACATAACCTATAACTTAATCTAATCATCAGACAGTTTTATCTTTGTAAAATCCACCTGTTCTGCCTTAATTTAAGATAGCTATATATATTTCGAGACACTATTATTCGATAGAAAAGATGAGTAATTTAAGTAAAATTATAGCTGGTAATATCCCAGGTAGCAAGCATACGTCACTTTGACATCGAATGACGTTTAGTGACGTCAGTTCGCTACTTGGGATAGATATATTTTTTTATTTTTGAAGAAAAAAAGAAATTTTAAAGAAATTAATTTTACTTAAATTATGCAGAAATATCCTTAACGAGAATCTCTTAAACCCGGAGGGCGCGCAATCGATCAAAAGCATCTAACTGTATTTATTAGCGGATCATGCGATGCAGGACGATCAGTTAATTAAAGGCTGCGTCGAGTAGCAGACGCAGAGAACGTTGTATGTGAGTTTTATACCGTATAAGCGAAACATACATACATACTGCTCGCCAGTAGACGTACATACATATGTATATATGTATTGTTATGTTATTGCCTAATAATTACGAAATAGAACGTTATGAGAATTATACATAATCCATATATATATCATTCCTTTCTTTCCCTTATATCAATCTAATTTGTTCTTCAAACACTGTGTTGTATATAGTATAATTAATTACGGGATAATTAATCAAGCTAAAGATTAAAATAATCTACAGGAAATACAAACACCCACGTATTGATACGATAAAATTATAAAAAGAACATTTTATAATTACCTAAAATCCAATCTTTCTTATTTCGTTCAAACAATATATTTGATATACGATGATTATTTTTGGTGTGTACTGATCAATCGATGTTTGTGTCACTATATATTTGACGAAGATTATATATGAAATAAAGATTAGAGTTTAAATAAAGAATATTATCCCCTCTTCAATTTCAGATTTAATTTAAATTTGCAAATATAACAAGCAAATTAAAATATTGCAGACAAATATACAATTATATATACCTATATATTATAATTATAAACATATATATATATATATATATATATATTATAATTATAAACATATATATATATAATTATATATAAATATATGTAAATAATATTTTATATCTGTCAATATATACAATATAAAAAATTGTCTACATTTTTACTACTTTCCAGAAATATTTGATCATTATCAGATGATTAATTATAGTGCTTCTATTACGGAAATTACTATAATATAATAATAATAATAAATATATTATAATAATAGTAAGAATAAATAATATGTAAATAATAAATAAACAGTGTTACACTAATTTTTCAACATTGTTAGTAATTATTGGCACTAATTTATATCGAAACACGATCTGTATTATGCAGTATATATGCATATTTTTTATATGTATGTGTGTAAACACACATGCTATATAAATTACGTTATAATATATTTATTATTATGTGTCACAATGAGACCACACTTCTGATTTTCTTATAAATAAGATAGTACCTGATATCGATTAGACGCTTATCACAACAAAGAATATCATATCGCCATTAAAGAGTTTTTCGTGTTATATTTTATTTCATGCACACGATTTGACGATAAAATACCAACTTTTTAATCTAATCGCCGACACAAAAGGAATTTAATCTTATATTGTAATATTATAAAATAGCTACAATATTTTATAATTAATGAGTTGTTTATTGGTTTTCTTTAATCCCCAAAAAAGTGCAAGAGATGTGAAATATATATAAAACTATACTCAAATTAATTATGATAATTAAAACATAAATTAATTAACATCATAATGGAAGTAAATTCATAATTTATGTTTCGAATAGAAAATATCGCTTATCTAAATTATTATTTTTTAATCGTATATAATAAATTAATGCAATTAACAACAGTCTCTGTATATATAGCATTTAATATTAATTAAAATAAAGTAAAGTTATATTCGCAATAGATTTTAGCACGAGAAATAAATTTATTAAGTACTTTCATATATTTTTAATAAAAATATTATGAGAATAAGTTACAAACTGATTCGAATATATCAAAAGATAAAATAAACTCAATTATAATTTTCCATCTTCCAATCAATTTAAATATCAATTTTTGTATCATTTACGCGTTATGTATATTATTATTTATCAAATATTTTCAACATTTTGAATATATTATAGCTACGCTATAATAAATAATAAATATTTAATAATAATAATAATAATAATAAATCTTTAATATTTTTCGGCATCATAGAATAATTAACGTACAGTTAATTCAACTATCATCCGCAACATTTGCATCACGCTGCAACAGTTGCAACGGAAAATGCGATATCGTTTATTATACCCCCGGATGTCGACAGGCGGACAAAAAAAATATAGATACGATGTATGTTTATGCAGCCGAAAGAGATAAAAGCAAATTAACCCTTGACGTTTCGCGGTGATTTAATCGTCGCGGTATTTTCGGAAAAATAAAAAGAGATAAAAAAGAGAGTCTATGTACGGAATTTATTTGTATGCGTGTGCAATATATATCTGATAATAATATACTACTTAGAGTTGGGTAATAACTAGTTAACTAGTTAAAAGTTAAAAAAAAGCTTAGTTAATTTAAAATGTATTAATTTTTAACGTCAACTAGTTATTTTTTACCTTAAACTTATTAACTTTTTTCCCAAGTTAAATTTTTTTATCTCTGAATATCATTATTGGTTTAAAAATTATAAACGGATTATTTTTAAATTAAAGTATTATTAATTTTTATGTTCATTTGTCATCAATTGTAATTATTTTGTGAAAAATATTTTTAAAAAATATTTTTAAAAAGTTCTTTATCGCTCAAGTAATATTTTCTTAAATATTTGATACATATTTTTAAAATATTATGTTAAATCTATATGCTAAAATATTTTTTAAACATGAAAAAACGGACATAAAAACATTTTAAAAATATTTTCGAGAATTATTTTTAAAATGTTTCTATGTCCGCTTTTTCATGTTTAAAAATATTTTCGAATATAGATTTAAACTAATATTTCAAAAATATTTAAAAAAATATTATCTGAGCGATAAAGAACATTTTTAAAAATATTTTTAAAAGTTTTTTAAAAAATATTCTAAAAAAATGTTATCACAAAAATTTTTAAATCATTTTAAAATATTCCTAAAACTATTTTAAAATGTTTTCATGTAATATTTTATAGAAATAATGAATATACCGCTCTATCTAATCTATCGTTGCTGTTTTATACCAGATGCATGAGAACTTTTTTCTTCGAGACGATGTAAACTATCGGGTTTTGCCTGAGCGATTGATCAAATAGGGGGATGTTGAGTATCCCTACCCTTTCTAAATCTCAATTGCGTCTATAGGGACAGGAGGGGGCACGACGATAGTTATCTGTTATGCAGACGGTGGAATTATTCTCATCATTTTTCATCATCCACGATGTCGTGAACAGCCGTATTGAAAAAAGTGTAAACATTCATATAAATATATTAATCAAATATCGGGGGATTGTGATCGAGTAGGAAGTGTAATTAATTAATTAACAAACTCCGAAGAAGACTCAAGGTCAATGAAAATCATCGTCTAATCGTGAGTATTCTTTCTCAAGAAAAGACCATGATTGAGCAAATTTGTGTAACAGATTAACTTTCTTGATCCTTCACTCGAGAATAAATTAAACTGTCATATTTTTAGCAAAATATAAGTAGAAAAATAATTCTAATGGAAAAGAAATATATTCTGGAAAGAGATAAGTGTATTGTTTTTCATTTCTTTTTCTTGAATTTTATATCATTTTAGAGCTCTATAATTTGCTCAACATTTATATAATAATATAAATTAATATGATTATTAATATTAATATAAATTTTATATAATATATTATTATATATTTAGATTATTATATAATAATATAATATTATTTATATAAAATATAATAATATAATATAATATTATATAATTATATAATATATTTTATTAATATATATTATATGAATTAATATGATTATTAATATCAATATAAATTAATATTAATTTTGCAATAGCAAGTATTCTTAAAAATTCTAATAATAATTTTTAATAAACAGAGAGAAAGAGCAGTTTAATCGACTTATTTGAATATTTCCGTTGTTTTTATAATACGAAAGTATATCTAAAGAAAAAAATTATTGGCTTCAATGAGATATTTTTTATAATTAATATAAATTTTTTCAAGTTTATTATGACATTATTGAATCAATTTTTGCATTTTTACACTTACATAAATGTACTCTAAATAAAGAGTACATTCTCCGAAAGAAACTTCGATCGCAAATGAAATGTTAGTAATATATTTTTATTAACAGCATTAAAACATATAATAGTAATTGAAATATATTGTGAGAAAAGCTTTATCTGGGAAACTATAGATTAGACGGAATCTGATTAGAGTTCTCTATAAGATAATGTAATATATAAGAGAGAACTACATCGTGTAGATGTAAGGATACGAAATTTTATTCGACGAACTTGTAATGAGTAAATCGCTAATGCTAATTGCTAATTTAGAGATCGCGCTGCCTTAGCTCGCTCGATAAAGACTACGAGATCATGTCGCGATAATGTTGAATAAAGCCTTCAATTTGCTTCTCGTCGAAAATTGCAGGCAGATTGAGGCTTTATCAAATTAATGCGCCATGTCAGCGCTTACACGCTACGTCGTATTGATAAGCGCTATAGGATTTTTGATAAGCTGCGCGGATAGCGAGGAGCTTGTGGATGGGAGAAAATGGTGGGAAACTACATTGGTTTATCAGATTTGGCCTAGAGGATTTCAGGACAGCGATGGCGATGGCGAAGGTGACCTGAAGGGTAAGTCACACAAATTGTTTTAGAATGTGTATAGAAAATTAAACTGAAAAAAATCCATGTACTCCCGGGAAACATTTTTTATATATAATTATATATAAATAATTGTATATATAATCGTAAAATTAATTAAATTTTTATACATAATTATATAATATTTATATATAAATTATAAGGGTTCATATATAATCATGTCAAGTTATATACGAAACATATATATTTATATATGAAGACATATATGTATCATATATATAAATTTATATAATATATATAAAAAAAGCACTTTAGCTAATTATGTATGGACATATTTCATGTATATAATTTTGCGATTATATGTATAATTTTATATATTTCTATATAATGTTATATTGTTATATAAAATTTTTTCCCGGGTTTTTACATGGAAATTATACTCTTGTTCAAATCTGGAAAAATTACTTTCTAATTATCACTGTAATTTTTGTTTCCATATTTTTTTGTGAAAATATTAATGTAAAAATATATTTGTAAAATTACTATTTTTATGCAAAAATTACTTGTAATTTTAAATTTAGTATTTTTACTTTAATAGAACTCTATTTTATAAGAATTTATCTAAGGTTTCTTTTTAATATTCGTGAATATTTGTTCAAATGCACTATATAAAACAATATTTGAAAAATATTTTAAAATATAAATGTGTGTATATATATTGCTAAATTTTTTTGACACAATTTACAGGTATTATTAGTCGACTCGATTATCTCCAGGATCTTGGAATCGAGACAATTTGGTTAAATCCTATTTATCCTTCGCCATTGATCGATTCAGGATTTGATGTCTCTAATTATAAGGATATACATCCTCTTTTCGGGGATTTAGATATTTTTGATGATTTGATACAACAAGCACACAAACGAGGTATAATAATATACAAACTTTATAATATAGATAATTTTAGTAATGAAAGTAAATCTGTAAAAAATTTTTAATTTTGAAAAATGTCTACCTTTAGAATTAATTTCACGTAAAAATTAACAACTATTATATTAGTAAAATATAATTTTTTATTTTAATTTTTTTTAAGTGTTCTTCTATAAATTAAGTATAATATACAATTTCGCTATATTGCACTTGTGATTTAATAAATAATATTTGCCAGTACGGTCGAGAGAAGAACTTTACTTTTTTAAATTCTGTCTGGCAATTCTCAAATATCTACGTTTTTATTTTAATATATTTTAATATTATTTTTTTCTTAACCGCATATATGTTGTTTATTTTTAATAACTGACGTTACTGTTCCTTTTAGGATTAAAAGTCATTCTAGACATTATTCCGAATCATTCCAGCGATCAACATGAATGGTTCAAAAAGTCGGTCAAAAAAATCAAGCCATACACTGACTATTATATTTGGACCAATGGCAGCATCGACAAAAATGGCAAAAAAATTCCACCAAATAACTGGGTATATTTTGCCATTTTTATTGTTTTATTTAATATAACGTTAGTCCAACAATCTATTTTAAGCAAATTCTTTTTTATACGACAAAGCAAAGTTTTTGAAATTAAATTATACATGAATATCTGATATATTTCTAACTGAAAAAATTAAATAAATTTTTTAGTTTTAATTATTGACGTTTAATTTAAACGGTAATAAAGATATTTAGGAATAAAAAAATATATATTTTTTTAAATTTTTCTATAGAATAGCACATACAATGATAACGAAGAATCTGCATGGACGTGGCATGATGAAAGAAAACAATGGTACTATCACAAATTTCATTATTCTCAACCAGACCTTAATTTGAGAAACAAGAAAGTAATCAAAGAATTAAAGGTATAATATATTTAAATATTTAAAAGTACTAAAAAGAATAGAATGTTCTAACTTTCTTAGAGCAGATTGTAATTTTTTCATAATTAATAAGGATTAAAACTTTTATATTGAAAAGCAACGTAATATTAATTCAAACACTGAAAAAAATTATTAAATTAATAAATATTTATTTCAATACTCCCTAATAAATTATTTATTTAAAACAAATAAATATTTATCTGTTTCAAAAAGAATTTTCTTATATCAGATAAATATTTTTCACCTCAAATCAGTATTATTAGTTTCAAATAAATGATTTATTAGTATTGAAATAAATATTTTATCGAATTCAAGAATTTTTTTCAGTGAATAAATTAAAAAAGAATAGAAAATATGTATTATAAATTACATTCTTTTTAAAATTCGAAAAAATGTATTCAATATCTGTGAACTATATATATATATACACATTTTCAATTTTTAGTTAAGAAATAGATGAGAGATTCCAGAATATAATTTTAATTTTTTGTCATAAATAATTGATAAATGATTAATTTTCTGAATAGGACATACTTGATTTTTGGTTGAAAAGAAAGGTCGACGGTTTTCGATTTAGTGCAGTACCGTATTTCTTCGAAGACAAAGATTTAAAAGACGAACCTGTTAATAAAAAAGGCATTTATACCTTTGGTCTTCCCGAAAGTACTTCTCTTCTTTACGTATTTCGTAAATTTATCGATGATTGGGTATCGGCCAATAAACATACATCAAAGTATGATATATTAAATATTTCTAAGCCATTTATATATCTTTGCAATATTATAATAAAAATATATATTATTATAAATATTATATGTGCATAATATTTATATATAAAAAAAATTTCATTATAATATTACAACTAATATGATTTAATATTATTAGGTTGTTAATAGCGGAATCATACGATACTTCTGACGATAATTTACTGGAATATTATGGAAATAAAACGCACAAAGGAATTCCACCTTTCAATTTTAAATTCATTACAGACATTAAGAATAACAGTAATGCTAATTACATTAAACGTATCTTGAATAAATGGATTAAACTTCTTCCAGAAAATTCTAATACTAATTGGGTGGTAAGAATATAAACACTGAATTAAAAGTAATTTTATCAGAGAATCGAGAACAAAATTTCAAATCATTCTATTTATTTTTGTATTATATTATTTAACATTTAAAAGAGATTCTTTACTTTAACTAATAATTACCCGGAAAAAATTTTTTATATATAACAATATAAAATTATATAGAAATATATAAAATTATACATATAATCGCAAAATTTATATGAAATATGTCCATACTTAATTAGAAAAAGTGCTTTTTATACAATTATATAAATATATTTATAATATATTTATATATATATATATATATATATATACCATATATATATAAATATACATGTTTTATATATAATTTGACATAATTATATATATGAACCCTTATAATTTATATATAAATTTATATAATTATGTATAAAAATTGACATATTTCACATATAATTTTACGATTATACATATATCAAATTATTTATATACATATAATTATATATAAAAAATTGTTTCTCGGGCAGAATTTTGAAAATATATAAATATTCTAATTATATATATATATATATATATATATATATATATATATATTTTTTTTTTTTATACCATTCATGTGTGATTGCTTTTTACAAATACAGCTTTCAAATCACGATAATTCGAGAGCAGCCTCTCGAATCGGACTCAATCGAATTGATGGGCTTCACATGCTTAGTTTGCTTTTGCCCGGACAAGCATATACATATTATGGCGACGAAATAGCCATGTTAGATACGAAGATAAATTGGAGCAAAACTATCGATCCCATGGGATGCGTTAGGGGGGAAAACGAGTATGAATATTTCTCGAGAGATCCAGCGAGAACTCCCATGCAATGGAATTCCAAAACTTCAGCTGGTTTCTCAACGAATAAAACTACGTATCTCCCCGTTCATCAAAATTATAAGTTGCAAAATGTGGAGAGACAACTAAATCAAAGCGCGAGTAATTTGAAGACGTATAAAGATCTAGTGCTTTTGAGGAAAAGACCAGTTTATAGGAGTGGAGATTATGAATTATAAGCTTGAATGATGCTCGCGTGTTGGTGTTAAAAAGGTAGGCACGTTAGATAAAAATATATAATATTCCATACAGCACAAAATATTGTGAATGTTTTCAACAAATATTTCTAGGTATTTTTATAAAATATTTCATAAAAACATTTTAAAATGATAACATATTTTAAAACATTAAAAAAAATTTTTTTATATATTTTTAAAAATGTTCTTTATCGCTCAGATATTTTCTTAAATATTTTTGAAATATTAGTTTAAATCTATATTTAAAAATATTTTTAAACATGAAAAAGCGGACATGGAAACATTTTAAAAATATTTTCAAGAATTATTTTATCTCTTAAGAAATATTTTTAAAAGATTTTAAAAAATATTACAAGATTTTTTAGATATTTTGTGCTGTATGAGATACATATATGTGTATAATGTTTTACTAATAATAGAACTTTATGAAAATAAAATATTGAAGATAATTTTTTAATTATTTATAGAAATAAAATTAGAATGTAATGTATAAAATGCAATTATTAACATAAACATAAATCATTTTTTGTTATTTAAAAACATAAATATATATATGTATATCCTATATAAGATATTATTTCCTAAAACTATTTAATATTTTTTTAGAAATTTATATTATTTATGAGATAATTATATAGAAATTTATAAAATTCATACAAAAAGATTGCAATTTTAATCCTTTTTTTGTTTAACAACTAGGTTCTTGAGAAATACAGAAGAATTGAATATTATTGTAGTTAATCTGGGTCTGCGATCAGAAAAGATTAATCTGACTTCTGTACATCCTAATTTAGAGGAAACTTTATTCATTATTGTGGCTTCTAGCAATGCAATTCGCGACACGTAAGTTTCTTCATAATGTATACAAAATGTGACCGAATAGTTTACATAAATTATTTTCAATCAATCTTTTGTATTAAAAAAAGAAAAAATATTTTGTTGAGTCTTCATTGAAAATAAATTAATAATTGTTCAGCAAATTCTAAACTAACTTTTTCCTTTACAAAATAATATTACATTTAGGTAATAGTTTCTGAATCATTAATTATATAAATTAAATTTTCGCGAGAATAAAGTCTCGCACGAAAAAATATAATTTTGAAAATTGTAATGAGTAAATGGAAAAAATTCTAAAAACATTAAATTGCAATTTAAATATTTTTTACTTTTACAAGAAATTATCATATTCATTATTCCCGATTCATCCTGTACTATATAAATTTTTTTATTGATTTTTACAAATCACTCTAAATTGACATACTGTTTTTAGAGATTATGTTCGACGGGATAATTTAAATTAACAGCAAATGCCGCACTTGTATTAAGAGGACAACAAGTACAGACCTCAACTGAGCCAACTACCAGCACAAGTGAGTTTTTTTAATTAACTACAATTACAAATTTGTCAATATTTATTAGTTTTATTAAAATAGCAGTAATTGTTGTTAATAGATTTTATCAGATTTTAGGTAGTATATGTCACTCAAAATATTATTTTTAGCAAAATATTACCTTAAAATTTAATAATTTAAAATTTAATAAAAATTTAAAATAAAATAAATTTAAAATAAAATAAAATTTAATAAAATTTAATTTTTTATAATTTAATTTTCAATATTATTTTAGCAATAAGAAACAATTCTACGACCTCAACTGAGCCAACTACCAGCACAAGTGAGTTTTTTTAATTAACTACAATTACAAATTTGTCAATATTTATTAGTTTTATTAAAATAGCAGTAATTGTTGTTAATAGATTTTATCAGATTTTAGGTAGTATATGTCACTCAAAATATTATTTTTAGCAAAATATTACCTTAAAATTTAATAATTTAAAATTTAATAAAAATTTAAAATAAAATAAATTTAAAATAAAATAAAATTTAATAAAATTTAATTTTTATAATTTAATTTTCAATATTATTTTAGCAATAAGAAACAATTCTACGATCAGCACGACGGAAAAAGGAAAAGGAAATTCCTCTGAACCACCTGTTTCAAGTACACCAGATCCTAATAATGCAGTATCGAGTTCTGCATCTATGTTTCAAATCATGATAAGCGCTATAATTGTAATAGTATCGTATAAACTTCATAAATAGTATAGAAAAGAAATAAGAATTTGTACGATAAAAAATAAAATTATCTTTTATAGTTATCTATATAAGGCACTTGTCAGAGATTCTTGATATAATCAGATATACAACATTCCAAAGAGTACATCTTCTAATAAATTCTTTGATTAATTCATTGGCATACATTTTTTAAAATAACTTTTTTCTAAGTATCGAAAAAATAAACATCTGCTAATATATGAATTATGAACAATTCAAACCGATTCATAACGATTTTTGAAAATAATTTTATAGACGCAATAAAATGATGAACTTTTACAATACTTATTAAATTTTTAGTAAATAAACAAGTGTATAGATAATTAAAAAAATTTTTTCAGAATTTGTCACAAAAAAGATTTCTTCAGATTTATAAAATTCGAGAAATCCATTTTTTACCAATTCTTAAACATTTTTTAATTCTCTATATATCTGTTTATTTACTTAAAATTTCACAAATATTATAAAATTTCATCATCTTATTGCATTTATAAAACTAATTTCAAAAATCATTATAATCAGTTTGAATGGTTTATTATAATTTATATTAGCAGATTTTATTATTTCGATAGCTTTAAAAAAATTATATATCGCAAAATTAAAACCCCATACAGCACAAAATATTATAAATGTTTTCAAAAAACATTTCTAAATATTTCTGTAAAATATTGCATAAAAACATTTTAAAATGGTCTTAGGAATATTTTAAAGTGATTTAAAATTTTTTGTGATAACATTTTTTAGAATATTTTAAAAAACTTGTAAAAATATTTTTAAAAATGTTCTTTATCATTCAGATAATATTTTCTTAAATATTTGATACATATTTTTGAAATATTAAGTTAAATCTATATTCAAAAATATTTCTGAAAATATTTTGTAAACATAAAAAAGCGGACATGGAAATATTTTAAAAATATTTTCGAGAATTATTTTATCTTTTAAGAAATATTTTTAAGAAATATTTTTAAAAGATATTTTAAAAATATTTTATGCTGTATGAGAGCACGCGTATAATTTAATAAGGCTACTTTTTGTTATAATTAGTAGCTTAATCTTTAGTAGCTTATAAGAATGGCAAGTAATTGAAGACAATTAAGAAGATTATCTAATGTCAATAATAGCACAATAAAGCAGAAACTACTTTAAATGATGACTCATATGGAGCTAAAGAAAGCATAACCAGATGTTCGCGGAGGTCATTTGGGATCATCAGGTGCAGCAACAAACTTGAGTTTATAATACGTAATAACGATATTTATATCGGTAATTATGCTTGGAAATCTATTCTTTGCCAAGACGTCGACGAATCGATATCTGTATTATTTGTTTATAAATTTAATCTGCGAAAAAATCGAGCTCAAGAGTGCGAAATATGTCAGTGATAACTAACAATCGCGAAAGAATGTGAAATATTTTATTTTTCACTTTATGTGTTTTTTTTTGCATATTTTACTGACGACTTTTAACGGTGAATATAAATAAGAAATTATCGCAAAAAATTGAGCTTGACCCCGAGAGCTGATATCGCTCCAATTTTACAATATAAACATTGGACGACTATAATAATACACAATTGGTGAATATTATTATTGTGTATCTCAAGGGGAGCAGTACAAGATGGAATTACAGGAAAATTACGCCTTTGCTCATAAAAACCTGGTTTACGATACTATTCCTCTCATTATTATTGATAAGTCAGTGGGGAAACATTTTAAAGGTTCGTAAAGCTTCATTACGCTGCCCAATTAAATTTCACTTTTTCTCTTGTAGAAATAATAAAAGCAATTTTTAGCCTTTATAGCTCCTTAATTTGAGAAAATAAATAATTGAAAGATATTAACCCGTGGAAAAATTTTTATATATAACAATATAAAATTATATAGAAATCTATACAATTATACATATATAATCGCAAAATTATATGTGAAATACGTCCATACATAATTAGATTAAAGTGCTTTTATATATAATAAATATTTCTTTATATATATAAATATATATAATTATGTATAATTTATAATTTATATATATAAACAATTTATTATGTATAAAAAAATTATTATATATAAAAATAGACATATTTCACATATAAATATATATAAAAATTTTTTCCCGAAGAGAAAGCATCGTATAGCTTTTATATTCGTAAATTGTTTTATATAAGTAATAGCACGTATTAAATACTTTATAAATATTTGATGAGAGACACATATAAATATATAAATATATGTATGATAAAAAATAGAGTGGATTTCAAAATAATATGAAGTGCATCAAAATAAATGAAATATTGTCATTTCTTGTTTCAGATAAGAGAGAAACTCTAAAATATTATCACGTTTCTAGTCCATTTTGGATGAAGTTTCGTTTATTATTATTTTGGACATTGTGGTTATATTGATTATGGCGATGATGCTCTGTATTCTCACATATTTTTGTTTCACACCTCGAATGTGTTATAGTCATAATTCAAATATACACACAACGTAAACGAATGAGTAAGTATCCAAAATTAAAACTCATAAAATATGCAAATGTTCAAAAATGTATGATATAAACTTTGTATATTAGACCTTTTCGTTTATTTTGACGAATAATATACGCCTGTAAAATTCGTGCCATAAATTTATAAACATTTTTAAAAATATTTTCCTTTTCCTTAGTAACAAAAAATATACGATTTTATAGAATCCTTTCAGATTCTGATATGCAATATCAATTTTTATCAAGGGACAAATTTAACAATTTTTGTGTTTAATGAATTTAGTGAATATTCAATAATATGCATATTTAATAAAAAATTGATTTTAATATGTATCTTCACTCCAATTCGAATAAAACATTTTTAAATAAAACAATGATATTCTCTATTTTTAATTTACTAATGTTTCAAATGTGTGTTTCAGTAAATATGCACCAGTCCAAGAATGCAGTGACATCATCATAAATGTAATATACATATAATAATTTGAATATTATTAAATATATTTGTACTATATAAATATAAGAATTAAATTGTCACATACCTTTGAGCGCCTTTTAATATCTTAAAATCGGCAATTTTTGCCACATTATACAATACAATATATTGTACATATACATATAATATAACTTTAGTTTCTAATATAATTTATATATCATATATAATAACATTTTTCATAACTATGTATAATTATACTTCTAGAAAAGTTTATTCTGTTATTTACAATATATTTATCATTATTTTATATACAATTTCAAAAGCTAGATATGTAATTTAAAAATTAAAAATTTTATGTATAAAAAATAGACTAAGAAACGAAATGCAATAACAAAAAATAAATTATATTATATAGCAATCATTAATAAAATAAATAAATCATTATTTTTGAAAAAAGAAATAAAGTATTAAATATAATTTTTGATTTTATTGCATTTTCTTTCATAAATACAAAATATTTAATTCAATAATAATCAAACTCTCTTAATCACTTTATTTTAAATTTATTTAAGAGATTATAAAAAATATTATATTTGTAAAATATAACTATATATGAAAATTACATCTCTCTTCAACCCCTACTCCTTCTCTCTCCCTATCTACCTCTATCTCTTTATTCGATTTATTCTAAAATTTAATCAATTTATTAATTTGGTTTCAACTTCATTTTTATTTTTTACTTATAAAATTTTTTTACGTTTACAGAAACAGTTACGTACATCTTGCATATGAAATTTTTATTTTTGCTCCGTTTTTATTAGACTATTAATAATTAAGTTATTTATAACTAACTCACTATTCTGTCCAATAATCTATTATATATAATTTCGAGCAATAAAATAAATAAATCTGAATCTTTTTGTAAACCACTAGACTTCTTGTTTAGTAATCGACTGCGACCGTTTTAAATTTGATTGCGGTTCTCGATTTAATTTCCCTTGAACTAATGTCGTCGAACTCAACATAACGGAAATCTGTTCTGGTAAAGGACACGCGATTAACAAAAGTTCCTCCGGATTGTAATACTTATTCAACGTTTGATGCAACTGCGTAACGCGGCGCAAATGTTATTTTTACCGGTTTAAATAGAATAAATTCAGTTTCCTTATTAGCTAAATACAACTGCATCGATTGTTGCACCTCGGGACATTTAAACTTGATTATCCTCAACACATCGACTACTATGACTGCCACTTCCTTTGCACTTCCTAGTGTCTTTTGCTCCTGACTGGATCCAGCATCATAAACTTGTCCTTCTCCAATAATTTGATAATAGGATTAATCAATAAATAAGTTGCGTGTTGTATCAATTGCTGACATGAAAACTTCAATTTTGCGTCCACATGTTTTCTTGAATCGATGAGTTGTTCCCTCATCTGCGGTGCACCTTCCAAGAGAAACTGTAATAATGCGTTGTTTGATAAAGTGAAGAGCCTGGAACTCTTCTCAAGTAATCCAAATGCCGCAGTCTTCACTTTGGAGAAATCCAAACTATATTCCTTGATAGTAAAGTCAACTTGAAATGGTGCAATCTGCTCTCTAAGGATCAGCAAATGCTTTATCTGAAATAATTCTGCATCCAGGGTGCTTGCTCTCTTCTCAATTTCCTGCCTGGCATTCTCGATGCTTTGCACACATAGAGAAATGGCCTCCTGGCTCAACGACTGGAACACAGATCTATCCACACAGCGATAAGTCTTGACAGACATACCAGGGTCCTGCGTACCGTGGGATACCACATTGCATGCAAATCTGCTGGAGAACTTCCCATGTGTGTCTTCTGATAAATAGAATCGATGACTATATGATTTCGTGAGACTGGCTCTAGAACAGAACTGTCAGCAGATGACACCGAGATCTTCTTCATGCGAGTCTGACGTGTCTCTTCTCTGATCGACTCCGCTATGTCCTCCATCATCTTCAATTTTTCTGGATACGCCAAATCTCCAGATGAAGGATTGTAGTTCAACACGTCGGACTGCAGATACAAATGCGCGCGAAATACTAATCTCTCTTGTACATCGTGCAACAGTTGCAAGCAAATGTTGCCGAAGCCTTCCAGTGGTTCAAAATTATCTGCACATACTCGTCCAACATTTCTATTCGCAGAATGCAACAGATTTCTGCCAATGTTTCTAGATGATTGATGTGTATTATGAAAGGTCGTAGTGCATCGTACAGGGAAGTGCACAAACTCTCCAAATACGCTGTCAGCCCACTCGATTGCTTCGTGAAGAATTCATAGAAGAGCTTGTGTTCATCTATCGATGCATGCAAGAGTAGAGCACAAGAGTGCCGTACCAAGCTACAATGATCACCATTGTACTTCTCCCTGACAGAATTCAAGGACTTTTGTATGCTGGCACCTAACACCAAGCCTCGCTGACTCCAATAATATTGATGGCATTCCAACAGCAGACTGTCGTACTCCTGTCTCTTGTATGACTTACTTTCAACCTGCTCGATGACTGGTTTTGTCTTGCACAAAATTGTCTGAAATCTTCCATAGAACAAAGCGAGCGCTGCATCTGCATTTTCCTGCGAACCTTCATTGTCCTTCAAATTTAAGATGCTCTCTGTAGTTTTGGAGAAGAGATTGAAAATATAATTCTGTATCAATGTTATTGCCTTCGACTGACAATGCCTGTACCGTACCAAATAAACTCCGCTCTCATTGTACGATGAATTACTCTGCATGAAATCTATATTAATATCAATCTTGTCTAATATGTCAAAGAACGTTTCGCTGTTGATCGACAGTGTGGGGGCGTCCAGTTTCTCTGCGATCACATTGATCTCCTTGAAATATCTAACGTATTCTGTGATGCTGTCGATTGTCGCGTTCAGCTGCTTCTGATCAGAAATAAGCTGCTCGCTGGCCTCATACAGAGAAGTGGTCTTAGCAGAGACTTCATTATACTGTTTATAAAGCGCAGAAAAATCATCCAACGCCTTCTCTATCTGGGAACAAACCTCGTGGCACTCAGATCTCCTCGATTTCAACTGGTCGAGGTATAAATGTACTTCATATCATACATGGACATGTATCTCCTCTCTAAAGACAAGTAATGCTGAAGTAACTCCTGATACCTTTCTATCGGAAGGATGCCTTCCTGAGAATCCTGCTTCTGCGAATTCTCCCCATCGCTGTGGATTATTACATCGGTCTGCCGATTCGACGACGGAAACGACGAAGATATCGCAGTTTCCAGACTCGTCAGACAATCCTTCTGACATTCTGTCAACGGGGCCAAGGGATTGTCACTCTTGGTCCCATTGAATAAGGTTATGCGGGATCGTTCTCGCCTTAGACATGCTTTTACTCGCGATAAAGATATTCCAATATCAACATAATCACGTAATATTGATCCTGATCGAAATCGCAGTCCGAAATTTTAATGCGCGTATTTAATTGCTAAGAATTTCGCAAATCGAGTGAAGACTTCAAGAAACTGTCCACGTATGACATTTTACCGACATTACCGACTTATCCACCTAAGCCTATTTTACCGATTTTACAGAAAAGGAGCGAAGAAGGAAAGAGAGAGAGAGAATCTTCCCGCTAAATTTCTACCTATGACGTAACGATGCATGTTTCTGTTTATTTGAAAAAATAACGTACCTATACTTATAACATATATAAATTTTACCTCTGAGAATGTGAAATATCGATTGATAGTTTTATCAATCCAATTCATTGCCTTCGCAATAGAAAAATAATTCAACACTCACCAATTCTGCAATAGTTGTCAGATCTGTAAATAAATATATATCGAAATTAAAGCAAAAATAAATCACAAAAAAATAATTTATTCCACACAGATAGTGATATATATTTTATTATCATTTCAAGAATAAAAATTTACGCATTAAATATTTGTAAAAATATAGATAAAAATATAAAATATAAAAATATAAAAATATAATATAAAAAAAAAAAAATATAAAAAATACAGGTAAAAATATATTAAAATATTATGTTAAAAAAACCTACGAATAAATTTCATAAAAAATAGTTCTCTGATACCTTCCGAAATAAATAAATAAAATTATTATACACTCACTTATCTCGGTTGCTCTCTGATTTCTCGTCCTTGTCGATCCTGCTTCTTCATGGCACTCGCACACAAACACACACGACTTATCGCGACACACCCGATTATTAATCATGTACATATATATATATAATATATGTTATATATATCGCGATATATCCGAGACGAGACCGAGCAATTATTTTCGCACGCGCGGAAAAAGGATCGACAAAATAACCTCGATGGGCAGCGATTTGGGTTCAGACGCGGAATGCGGCGGACAATTACTCGCGCGGACGAATAATCGTGAATTATACAATCACGGTGTAGGAGGGATCGCGTTTCTGACGTTTGTCGATCGCCACGAGACGAACATGCGAGGGAAAAAGGAAAAAAAGCACGGCGCGATTCGCCGGCCTGCCGGCACGCGAGACGTTTTGGCGCGAAATGCGCGAGACGGCTGCGTAGTAGTGCGTAGGTGGGGGAGTCATGGTAACGGGCCCAAACAACAACACGCGGCGTACGTCACAGGTCACGTGTGACGTCACGTCTGACAACAAGTCGCGGACACGTGTGACTAGGTTCGTCGTCCTTGCGTCAAGAATATATATTCGATGAATGTCAAATAATTACGCACGCGGTATATTTTGTTGAATTTTCGATTAATTGTCATAATTGAAGGTTGACGTGTGCTTGTCATCGCGTGTTTTTTTCGCGTAGCATTATTGTTAGCTCCGGAAGTAATACTTGGCAAATTGTGCGGTTAACTTCAGAGAAATATGCAGAGAATACGAGATGGGTGTATATATTTGTATCCAAGCAGGTTAAAAACGAGTAGGTGAGTGTCGAATTATTATATTAATCATAAGATTATTGCGATAGATTATTTAATAATTTCCAACCTCTCTTTCTTGTTCTCTTTCTCTCTCTCTCTCTCTCTCTTGCTCTCTCTCTCTCTCTCTCTTCTCTTTGTTCTCTCTCTCTCTCCTTCTTATTAAAATTTATAATTATTTAAATAACTTGTTACGAAAGAATTAGATTTTTATATTTATCTTTCGTTATTTTGTTAGTAAACATCTAAAAAATTTTTTTGTAAATATTATTGTAATTTTTTATTAAATTTAAACAAGAAACTCTTTCATTCTTATTATAATTTATAATTATTTAAATAACTCGTTACGGAAGAATTAGATTTTTATATTATCTCTTTCGTGGTTTATTTATGTTTATTAAATATCTAAAAAAAATTTTTTTGTAAATATTATATTGTAATCTTTTATTTATTAAATATCCATTTAACCAAGAGAAACGAATAGGAAATTTAATATTTTATGTGATAATTATATTGTGAAGTTTAATATACTAAATATTTTGTTTTACCTAAGTAATTTATATTTATTATTTGTATTTTACAGATCAACATTCGAGCATCGAATATTTATATACAACAATTTCATGGATGCATCATACCGGTGAGTGTCGAATTATTTTTATTTTAGTCTTGAGATAGACTGTAGATTTGTAAATATTACATATCAGAGAAATACACAGCTCTCTCTCATCATAAGAGATATATATAATATAAGAAAAATATGTATATTACTTATTAAAGAAATGAGAGAATCTCATCAAACTATATATACAATTTTTCCTTAGCAATTATTAATAAAAATTTAAATTTGTAATGATAACAGATGTAATAACAAAAATATTTTATATATGTATATCATTTATTTTATAAAACTGTCTAATCTTTATTATTTTTTATATCTACCTTATTATTAAAATAATAAATAAAAATTTAAATTTTTATATTATTTATTTCTATTTATTATTTTAATAATAAGGTAGAAATAAATAATAAAGATTCAGATAATTTCTAAAATAAATGATATATATTAATATATTTTTTTATTATTACATCTGTTATCATTACAAATTTTAATTTTTATTATATAATTGTTTGAGATATCTGAATTTTATTATTTCTATATTATTTATTTCTATTATTCTTCTATTTTTATTATTATTTATTTCTATTATTATTAAAATAATAAATAAAAACTTAAGTCTAATGCAATAAAAATGTTTCTTACATGTGTGTTAATCGAAATACGTGAATTTCTTTTAGTTTTTTTATTTTTTTTCGAAAAAATAATTTTATTAATTACACAAATAAAATTGTGAAAACAATAAATAAATTCACTTATCGATCATTGCAACGCCATTGATATTCTATCAATTTCTTTGTTGATGAAAAACTCGCTCAAATTTTCTTTGAAAATATTTAATTTTTAAAATGTCGATGATGCACATCAATTATTAAACTGTAAACATATTTGATTTATCTCCTAATGTGATTTTTTGTATATAATAATAGAATAATTAGCAAATTAATCTCACGATATAGCTTTGGAAAAACATATGAACGTAGCGATTATAATTAAAAATAGATAATTACAATTAATAAATTAAATAAATTAATAGATAATATAACTATCGTATATTTTTATTAATATATGGAATAATTTGGAGGTACAGTGGCGCGGAATTAACTTGACGAAACTGCTGCGCGTTCGTATTACGATTTACGATATAATTGTAATTTACTTTATTAACATGCTTAACACATAATGCTTCTATGGCTGCATAAGCTTCTTTTAACGGAATTATCGCACATTTGCATTACGATGCAATATGTTGCATGCATGCACAATGGTTATTCGATCCTTTCTTTCGAGTATTTCCGATATTACACGTTACTTGCAAACAATTTATTTTTTAATTATTTAAAATCGTTGATTATTTATTCACTGAAAAAAAGAATTTGTTAACATATGACTAAATCTTTCCACTAAATATTATTTTGTTAATAGAATATAAAAATATTTAAATTAAATATAACATATTAAATCTAACAAAATATATATTGATTATTTTATTGCTTTGATTATTCGGTTATTTTTATATTTAACTTAAATATTAATATATGTTCAATTAACAAAATTGTAATTTAGTTGAAAAGTTTAGTCAAGTTAGCAATTTTTTTCAGTGTTAAATGATAAGATAAATGTTTATGATTGTAATGAGAGGGAGAGATTATAATATTATAATTTTAATATAATTCCAATTTAATTATTTTATACATATATAAATATGTAATAATTAAATATAATATATTAATATTATATATATATATAAGTTATATATATTATATATTAATTTTATATTTATATTATATTATTAATATATATTAATAAAATATAATATAATAAATATGTATGTATAATAAATTAATATGTAATATATTTATATGAAACATATATCAATTGATTGCAATTATATTTTACAAGCATCTCGACATTAAATACATAAAATTTCTATCAAAAAGATATATATCACATAATTAAATAAATTTTTAATTGCGAATGGAGAAGAAATTCTGAGACATCCTGCGTTATGCTAATACGGATATTGTATGCTAAATATAATAAGTCCCCTAAATATGCATCTGTATTGCAATAGATAGAGATACATTCATTGTCGGTGAAATACGTCGCCGGCGTTCTTACCAAGAGATCGTGACTTGTAAGAACATATAAGATAACGGCCATTTGATCGATCTATTACATGGATCGAGCACACTCGCTCCGCATTTGAACTACGCCACAATTGGTCATGAATTAATGTAGGTTGCTATTACAACGGTTCGCATTCTACGAGTCGAGGATTCTCCCTTTTTCTGTACATTCTTTTCTGTGCCTCCTTTTCATTTTTTTTTATCGATTTCTTGGAAATAGCTAAACTGGGTTTTTTGAGCAATTCTTCATTTGAAATTGCACAAGTATTCTACGCATAAATTACACTTGATATTTTCTGAATTTAAAGAATAAGATTTTTTGATATTTTATAAGAAATTTAATTTATAACAAAGTTTTTTAAACAGCAATCATATATCTTCAATTTTTTTGTCGATCGGTTGCTTATATAATTTTTTTCTTGTCATGTTATTTATGAATTTTGTCATATTTTTTCCTATATTATTTATGTTTTCCCTCTGTTTAATTTATTATAATACACATTCCGTGCAGTTTGGCTCGAATTCAGCTCGTATGATCATTTTTATGCAGAAGATATACATTAATTTATTTCGAATATGTAATGAGAATCCTATAAATTATTTTTAATCGCGAAGGAATACTTTATGAATTGAGTTTGATTTAATTTTTATTTCATAAATTTATGTGACACAAATATATGTGCATATTTATGATATATCTATAGTTAAAAATGCATGTGACATTTTTTTGGACAAAGAAAATTAATTTGAAATAAATATTCTTATTTATACAAAATAAATATTTTAAGTGGCAGTATATTTTATGTAATATCATTATTAAAAAAATTTCTTCTTCAAAGGAAAAAGACATAATTAAAATAGATTTGCACGCGAGATTGAATAAGACTTTTGTGAAATTTATCTTTTTCTCTTGTAAGAATTTATGAACTTATTATTTTAATTTGTATATAAATGTAGAAATAATCTTATTTTTTCAAAATTCATTTAAATATTTTATAATTTGATTTAGAATTGTAATTATACATACATATATATATATTATTTATTTATTTATAATAATTTATTATATATATTATTATATATTATATATATTATATATATTATATATAAATGTAGAAATAATCTTATTTTTTTTAAATTATTTAAAATATTTTAGAATATTTATAATTCGATTTTAGATTTGTAAATATATATATATATATATATATATATATATATATATTTGTATAATACTAAAAAGGGATTTATTTCCATTTTAATAATAAATAAAATAAATAAATAAAATAAATAAAATAAATAAAATAAATAAAATAAAATAAAATAAATAAAATAAAATAAGAAAATTAATAAATAAAATAAATAAAATAAAATAAAATAAAGAAAATCAAATAAATAAAATAAATAAATAAAATAAATAATATAATGCATTTAAAAAAAATAGAGATAAAATTTGTAAGAAATATTAAGATTGTCAGCTGTGAAAGAGATATACGATAGCGGACAGTGAGACACACATTAATTAACGAAAATGAAGTTAACGACGGTAGGTCGTCGCCTTGAAAAAACACGTATGCGGGCTTCCTGAAGTGATTTCACGTTACGAAGAATATGAAACCGGTTTGCCCACCCTATAATGGCCCGGGTCCTTAACCTTCTCGCAAAGACAATGATTTAAACTGCAATGCCGAGCTTACGAGATAAACCCACGTCTTCTCCAACATAGAGCGTGACGTCACGGGTGTAAATTCCCCAAAAAAAGAAGGAACATTCCGCGATAATTGCGTAGGCTAATTTTCGAGAAGAATTAGATACGTGAAATATCGCTATTCTTCTCAGGCTGACATTTACGATCAAAA